TAAAGGCCCTCCCGTTGATCATCGATTTGCTCGAGCGGGCCCAGTAACGTCTCCATTGGAGACTTTGTTGTTACTGTGTCTGGCATATCGAATACACTCGGTAGCTTGCCGGGCTCTCCAAGAGGGGCAGAGGAATCGAACTCGGGTCGGCCATGTTGGCTGCGTGCAAGGCAGACGCCCTACCCGCTGTGCTAAGAACCCCACACTAGTCTTTTTTAAAATTAAATTTCATTTTATTCAGTTGGGGGGCCACACCCAGCAATGTTCAGGGCTCTGCACTCAGGAATTACTCCTGGGGGTGCTCGGGGGGATCATATGTGATGCTGGGGATCGAACCGGGGTCGACCACATGCAAGGCAAATGCCCTGCTCGCTAGACTCTCCCTGCAGCCTCAGGTTCGATTTAGTTCTTAGTCCTGAATTGAGCCCTGGGGCAGACACCTGAGGCTCTTGGGAAGGGGCTCCGGGCACTCTAGCCCCTGTGACAAAACCTGAAACTTTTGTAAAAGGATGGAAAATCCATATTCCAGGGGCCCATGGTTGCAGGATACTAGCATCCAGAGAAACCCCAGTCTTCCCTCTACAACAGAATCCTAACTCCTGTTCACCAATGCTCTTGGTGCATGGTACGTGCTCTTCTCTCAGACCTCATTTCAGAAAAGACAGTGAGTGACGACGTGAGCCCACTCAGCCTCCAAAGCTCAAATGTTTGCTCAAATTTGCAAGAGAGAGTCGGAGGCTAGTTGCTCCCAGCTTTTTTCTGATTCTCGTTGCTTGTCAGACTTCAGTATTGTTGGGATGATCTTTGGAGAATGATCGACAGGTCCAGACACGCCAAGTCTGTGTAGAGAGGAAAGGTTCTGGTTCTGGTGTTCACGGCTGCTCTGAACCCAGTTAATTGTGACGTGGCCCGGTGCTATTTCAATTACCCCGTGCAGGTCCCTCCCGCCTTCCTCCATCAGAAAGAAAGGCCTGTAATAAATAGAAGGCAATTCCATTAGCATCTTTCTTTCGGGGATTAATACAACGTCACTGGCCATAATTATCCTCATCCATTACATTTATGAATCTGATTCCCACGAGGCGTCTTTGGGGAAGGCGGCTGGTCAGGCAGGCGGCGCTGATCCCAACACAGAGCCTGGGAGAGTTGCCACCGTGGATCCTAGATGCCTGGCATGACTATATTTTAGAATTTAGGAAGGAGGGGGGCTGGAGTGATAGCACAGTGGGTAGGGCGTTTGCCTTGCACGTGGCTGACCCAGGTTCGATTCCCAGCACCCCATATGGTCCCCTGAGCCCCGCCAGAAGTAATTCCTGAGTGCAAAGCCAGGAATAACCCCTGAGCATCGCCGGGTGTGACCCAAAAAAGCGAAGAAAAAAAAAATTTAGGAAGGAAGTTCATTGGGGCTGGGAGGGGGCTTGGTTGGTTGCTTGGTTGGTTTCTTTAAATGAATGTGCCTGACTTTATGTTATTATTTTTTCCTCATTTTTTAAAAAAATACATTTTGGGGATACGCCTGCAGTGCCCAGGCCTTATTCCTGGCGCTGTGCACAGGGATCACTCCTGGCATGGCTCAGGACACCATACTAAGTGCCAGGGATCAAAATGTGGCCCGCTGTGTGTCAGGCAAGTGCCCTACCCGCTGTAGTGTCTCTCGGGCTCCCGCTTGCTTGGGATTCTTGGATTCTCTCCCATTGTTTTCTGATTCCACTGACCCATCCAAGCTCCCTCAGGACCACCAGAGCCAATTGGGAGCAGAACGGGCACGAGGCATTTACCCTAAGCAACCCCCACACCCGGCTCTCCCCTGCTGAGACCCTGAAGTTCAACCTTGATCGTGAGCGCCACACTTCCGTGGGAGGCTGGACAAGGAGCAAGGCAAGGAGAAGGGGGTGGAGCGAAGGGCTCCACTAGGAGCCCAGGGCACAGTGTGGACCCCAGAGTGGGTGGGCACAGGGGGCAGTGGACGGGCCCCCTTCTTCCTGGCCAGAAACCCTCCACCTGGGTCCTGACTCTGCCCTCTGGGCCCGGAGACGTCTCCACGGGCTGGAATCAGCTCCAGAGCTCCAGGGCAGTTTCTCCAGGCATCTGCCGAGCCAGACTCTGTTAGGACCCTCCCCACTTTACTCTTCCTCCTTCCCATGACTATGTGGCCCCTGTTCTCCTGGAACTGCTCCTGGATGGAGGAGCAGGGTGGCTCCTGGAACTGCTTTTCAAACTGTGGCGTGCAGTAACAATTCTGTCCCAAGGCAGCTTCCTGGCATCGGGTGGCAGGGGGAGGGGGCTAGACTTTGATTCAAGATCTGTATGTGCTTCCCACATAAGACACATCACAGGGGCTGGAGCAATAGTACAGAGGGTAGGGCATTTGCCTTGCATGTGGCCGACCCAGGTTCGATTCCCAGCATCACATCTGGTCCCCTGAGCACTGCCAGGAGTGATTCCTGAGTGTAGAGCCAGGAGCAACCCCTGTGCATCGCCGGTGTGACCCTAAAATCAAAAAAAAAAAATGACACATCACAGGCTCTGAGGTCAACTTCTGCTTGCCAACATGAGTGTTTTCCACTTGGCTTCCTACTGAAAAGACCCCCTGTGTTCACGCCCACTTCCGTCTGCCACAGGCCCTTCTCTGAAGCACTATTCCCCACCCCACCCCCCCCCGCACCCATTCCTTCTCCCTCTACCCACGTGACCTGACAGTGATCCTGCAATCTCCCCCACTCACTGTCCAGGCTTAGCTGATACCCTGGGTCAAACGATCGGCCCGTCACCATGATTTCTGCCAGGGGGATTCCGAACCTTCACGCCGAGGGTTGAGGGTTGCTGTTCCTCATCTACAGGAAGTGACCGTGAGCCTCCGTTGGAAAGGCCTGACTCAGGTTCACCCTGATTAGAATCTTTATTTAGGAAAATGTGGCTCTCACAGGATGGGCAGAGGTGGTCCTTCTGCAGTAGACACCCCTGTGGTGTTTCCATGAGGAAGTGTCCTGGGTTCCCAAGCGTCCCTCACACTGGCAGGAAGTCTGCACCCCTCTGGGTGCCAACGGGAGAGGGTGAGATGGAGAGGCGAGGTCCTATGGGGAGTCTATGTATTTTTCAAAGAATTCTAAGGAAGGATTTAAAAGGAGGTACAAAACAAAGACATGATTTATGGGGGCTGGAGGACTTGTTCAACATGTATAAGAAAAGGAGGGAACCAGTATCCCTCCCACCTCCATACCCCCCCCCATCCCATCCTGCCTCTGTAGCAGGGCATTCCCTTTTGTTCTCTCTCTCCTTTTGGGTGCTGTGGTTTGCATTGAGTGGCAATCATGTTCTGTCTATAGTCTACTTTCAGATGCATCTCCCTCCTGGGAGGATCCTCCCAACACCGTTTACTTGGTGCTCCCTTCTCTATCTGAGCTGCCCTTTCCCCTAGAGTGTGCGGCTGGCCTCCAAGCCATGGAGCAAAACTCCTGGTACTAATCTCGGCCACTCTTGGGTGTTAGTCTCCTGTTTTGTTACTTTATGCTCCCCAGATGAATGCAACCTTTCTATGTCTATCCCTCTCTTTCTGACTCATTTCACTTAGCATGATACTTTCCATGTAGTACCACTTGTATGTAAATTTCATGACTTCATCTTTTCTAACAGCTACATAGTACTCCATGGTGTAGATGTGCAGCATTATTCTAACTAACGTGGTCTTCTCTCCCTCCCTCACTCTCTGGCAGAAGTTTGCCCTGAGACTGGAAGAGATCATTTGCCTTGCATGCACCCCACCCGAGTTTGATTCCTAATGCTGTATAGGATCCCCCAACCCTACTGTTGAGTTCAGAGCCAGGGCATGACTGCCAGCTCTGAGCACCATCTGGTGTGACCTAGAACAAACAAACACTGTCACTGTAACTGTCCTCCCATTGTTTATCAGTTTGCTCGAGTGGGCCCAGTAACGTCTCCATTGTGACACTTGTTACTGTGTTTGGCATATTGAATATGTCATGGGTAGCTTGCCAGGCTTTGCCATGCAGGCGAGATACTCTCGGTAGCTTGCCAGGCTCTCCGAGAGTGGCGGAGGAATTGAACCTGCATCAGCCTGGTCGGCTGTGTGCAAGGCAAATGCCCTACCTGCTGTGCTATCATTCCAACCCCAAAAAAACACTTAAAAACAAATTAGCCCTAACCCTCCTAAAGCAGTGGTCTTCAACTGGTCTACAGGCAGAGAAGGGTTGAAAACCACAGTTCACCTGCCTTGGGTATCACTGCTGGGCTAGGAGCTGGTGGCCAGAGGCTGGTCTGCAGGTATCAAAAAAACATTGGCAGAGCTGGAGCAATAGTTACGGTGGGTGAGGCATTTGCCTTGCATGCAGCTGACCCGAGTTGAATCCCCGGCATCCCATATGCCCATATGGTCCGCCAAGCACCGCCAGGAGTGATTCCTGAGTGCAGAGCCAGCAGTAACCACTGAGCATCATTGGGTGTGACCCAAAAAGCAAAAAATAAAAACAAAAAAATTGGCCTAAAGTAATCTAAAATAATGGAATATGTTTCCACAAGTTTATGCTCGGCTGCCGCCACAAGTGCCCTAAACCACCGCTGTCCTTCTGTCCCTACTAAGTCCTCCTGCTCCGTCCCTGCAGCCCCAGTCCCCTGCCCCAGCGAGGTGACCTCAGGCCTGTCGTCAGAGTCCAAGGGTTTGTTTCTGTTGGCCACTGGCCATGCCCTGGCTTTGTTTTGTTTTGAGCCACGTCCGAGCATGGTCAGCCAACATTTGTCCTTTCCCTAGGTCACACCCTCGAGTTCCACACGAGGGGGAGCCACAGGGAGCACCGCTTCTTCTCCCCGATCTGAGACTGACACACGGTGTACGTGGGTCATCATCTGGGCATGGGCACTTTTCAACCGCTTCACACCTCACAGGGAACTGCATCCGGGAGCAGGATGTGTGTCTCCAGGCGTACTGGTAGGCTGGAACCGACCTTGGGAATGAGATTCTCACTTTCACTTTCTTCTCTTTGTAGAAACGGGCAAGATTGACCAGGAGATTCACAAGTACAACACTCCAGGATTCACCGGGTGCCTGTCCAGGGTGCAGTTCAACAACATCGCTCCACTCAAGGCTGCCCTGCGGCCAACCAACGCCTCGGCTCTGGTGCATATCCAGGGTGAACTGGTGGAGTCCAACTGCGGGGCGTCCCCGCTCACCCTCTCCCCGATGTCGTCTGCCACCGACCCCTGGCACTTGGATCACCTGGACTCAGGTAACATCGACAGCGTCCTCGGGTTTTCTCTCCAGAAGCCTTGCTTCGCCTATCTGTAAATGGGGTTGACGTCACAGGTAACGTGGTCGGGTGGTTAACGGAACAAAAGTTGGAAGCGAGCCCAGTCCAGACCCATAACACGGGCTCCATAGCTCAGTACCAGCGGAAGAGCAAGTCTGGGAACACGAGAGTGGTCAATTCTTCTGCTTCTAAGGGACATGCCCAGCTGATCTGTGGCATGGTGGCTGGGCAGTTGGGTCAGACTCCAGCGTCTGCTCTGCCTGGAGGAGGTCTGTCTGCTTGCAGTACCAGAGTCCAAGTTCCAACTGCAGAGGAAAGGACTTAGCTTCAGCGAGCTTCCTCTGCCCTAGCATGCGGGCACCAACAATCCTGGAGCCTTCTAGAGCTTAAGAAAGAGGTGTTTCGTTTGCATGGTTCAGAGGATTGAGTCCCACATGTGCAGGTGATCAGCCAAAGAGACAGCATCATGGGTTGAGTGCTTGCTTTGCAGGTAGGAGACCCCGAGTTCCATCCCCAGCACTCCTTAGTCTGCTAAGCAACCCTGTGGAGAGAGTCCAGAGCTGGGGCTAGTCCCCCAGACCCCTCAAAACTCTGAAATTTGCAAACAGGCCGAGGACGAAGAGTAGAGCTGGTTGTTGGCTGCAGAATTAAGTGGTTCCCACGGGTTTTTGCGGTTGTACAGTGGGGGGGACGCTTGCCTTGTACACGGCTGACCCGGGTTCTATCCCTGAGCCTCTGCATGGTCCCTGGAGTCCCACCAGAAGTGACCCCTGAGCGCAGGGTCAGAAGGAAGCCCTGAACATTGCCAGGTGTGGCCCCAAAACCAAAATAATAATAATAATAATGGTGTTAGGGCCTGAGTGATAGTAGGTCCCTTGCCTTGCACATGGCCAACTCGGGTTCGATCCGTTGCACTCCATATGATACACCCCCCTCCCCCACCCCGGGCCCACCAGGAGTGGTCCCAGAGAGCCGAACCAGAAGGAATCCCTGAGCACTGCCAGGTATGGCCCCAAAACCCATAATAATAATGGTAATAATAATAATAATGAGTCCACAGACACCTGAGGGGTGAGCATTCGTGTTCCTTTGGGGCCCAGATGATCTAGGCCAAGCAGACACCTCTCATAGACGCTGTTTCTCAGCCCACCCTGGGCCATGACCTCTCTCCCTCTCTCTCTCTCTTCCCCCCCCTCTCTCTCTCTTTTTCTACCCCCTCCATCCCTCCCCCCGCCCAATTGCCATTATGATTTGCAGTACAGGTACTGAAAGACTACCACATATATCCTTTTCCCTCCTTTCAGCCCTCTGTTCTGGTCCAGAGTGATAATTTCCAATTCTCATTGTCATAGTGGTCCCGTCTCTATCCTAACTGCCCTCCCCCTCACCCCCGGACTCGTGGCAGCTTCCAACCATAGATCAATCCTCTCGGCCCTTGTTTCTACTGTCCTTGGTTATTAGTCTCATGCTATGTATTTTTATGTCCTGAAAATGAGCGCAATCATTCTATGTCTGCTTCTCTCCTGACTCATTTCTCTCAGCATGAGACTCTCCACATCCATCCATTTATAAGCAAATTTCATGACTTCATTTTTCCTGGTGGCTGCTTAGTATTCCATGTGTAGATGTACAGGGGTTTTATCCCGTCGTCTCTTCTCGGGCACTCGGGTTGTTTCCAGTTTCTGGCTATTGTGAACAGTGCTGCAATGAACACAGACGTGCAGATGGCGTTTCTGCTGTGTGTTTCCATCTCTATTTTCATAACTGAGTTGTAACCCAGTGTGTGTCCCTGCCAGGCATCTGCCTCAGTCACCCGGTGACTCTGAACAGGGGTGCAGGAAGCAACTGTCTCTCTTTCGGGGACTTTTAGGGCAGAAAGCGTTGTGTGAACTGGGAGATTGGAAGGCTCGTGAGGATGAGACCGTTTGACTTTTCTCCCTTGGATGGCGGGAATAGAACAGATTGTGGGGCAGGCATGGAGACATAGGGAAGCTCACCCAAAAGCCATCTCAAAAGTGTCTCCGGGTTCAAGGCAAAACATATACCCTACCTCTTAGCTCCAGTTCCCGAGGGCCTGCTAACCAAATGGGTCAAGGCAGAAGAACAGAAGGGGAAAGTTTCTATCCATAAAGGTCGCTCATCATCGTCTGAGTCAAGGCTTACCTACCTCTTGTGCCATGCATAGTAGGGGGAAAGGAGTGAGGAGAAAGCCTGATCACGATCACGATCATCCTGTTGTTCGTCAATTGCCTCAAGCAGGCACCAGTAACGTCTCCTTCATCCTAGCCCTGAGATTTTAAAAGTGCCGTATTCAAGGCTCTTTCAGGGTTAGAAGAATGAGACCCCTCATTGTTACTGGTATTTGGCATATTGGGTACGCCACGGGGAGTTTGTCAGACTCTGCCGTGTGGGCAGGTGACATTCGGTAGCCTGCCAGGTTGTCCAAAGTAAGAATGAGATGATAAGATGTCTCGCAGCCGCAAATGCGGCCATGCGCTTCTGGGAGCTGGGTTTTATAGTCTCTGGGTCTTGGCCATTGATGGAATTACACGGCGCCAGAGAAAGCCCATCTAGAAAAAAACAAATGTTATTCCAAAACCCCAAGGGAGGTCCTGGTTGCACTGATGCACAAAACTTGTATGTGGGCTGCCTGTCTTCATCACTGCTCCTGAGAGGGCCTGGATGGGCATCAGAAATGGGCAGCCATGTTAGAACAGTTGATTTGTGCATTTGTTGAGAGAAGAAACTGGATGCATGTAGTGAAGACAAGTGAATCAGAATCCAGTTTTACATGGATCTGATAAAAATGTAAAGATGGATCCCATATGACCGGATTTGAAAAAGCCCTGGGCAGAATGACAGGATGGCTTCCACCGGGCCCTGGACCCACACAGTGGTGCTCAGGCACTCCTCCTAGCTGGGTACTCAGAGTCGCTCAGAGTGTTTACAGTACCATGAGGTGCCGAGGCTAAAACCCAGAGCCCCCCCATACGCAAAGCATGTACACAGCCTGTGTAGCCATCTCTGACCCAGAAGGGGGTTTTATAGGGAAAAAGAAACACTGAACCACACTGATCCCTTAGAAACATTGTTTGAAGCTTTTTCTGCCTGGTCCCCCCTTTGATTATATGTGTGGCCTTGTTGCTAAAACCTGTTATTCCCATCCTTATGGATGTTTCGAGAAGCGTGATTACAAGGTGGTGCAGCACCATTCCTGAGCCTCAGCCCTCTAGAGGCCACAGCTTGGCTGACGGTCACCGGGCCTTACCTCTTAGAATTCGGGGCTCTGTTCTCTCTGTCAGATTCAGGCACTCGGGCTTCCTGGGTGACACAGGACTGATGATGGCAGGGCTCCGTATTTGTCCACCACTCCCAGAATCTTTAATATTTTCAAAGATCAAATAATTGAATTGTAGGGGCTGGAGCAATAGCACAGCAGGTAGGGCATTTGCCTTGCATGCAGCCGACCTGGTTTCGATTCCCAGCATCCCATATGGTGTCCCGAGCACCACCAGAGGTAATTCCTGAGTGTGTGAGCCAGGAGTAACCCCTGTGCAACACCGGGTGTGACCCAAAAGTAAAAAACAAAATTTTGAATTGTAAGCTTGCTCAGACTCGGAGTTAGAAAAGAGAACTCTGGAACGCTAGTCCAGCAGGTAGAGTGTCTGCCCAGCATGCGGCCAACCCAGGTTCACTTCCTGGCACCCCGTATGGCTCCAAGATCAGCAGGAGTGATCCCTGATCATGGCTGGGTGTCGCCCCCAAACAAAAACAAACAAAAAAGGAAAATAGAGAGAAGTTTATTGGAACACAGAAGACAGAGAAACTCCCCAGAAGGGAGAAACTTAGTCTAGGACTAAGCATGAGTCCTTGTGGGGTTTTTATAGGAAAACTCTTTTTTTGTTTTTGTTTTTATGTTACTCATCTGAGCAGCGAGATCTTGTTTATTTAGAGCTTGTTTCTATTATGATAAGATTAACATCATTCATCACCCCTTTTGACTGGTCAAGGGACTGTTGATTTAAAACCTTTTAGGTTCTTTATTTCCCAACATGCACAGTTATTGCCCTGTTATCTCTTAATCTCCTGTGAGCCCAAGGTTTGGGGTAAAATTTATGGTCTTGGGGAACTATAAACTTTTCCAATCTCACAAAGAACCCAGGAATTTGCAGGAGTGTTTTAAAAGTATGATGGAGATCGTGACAATGAAGCTGCTTGCCACGGCTGGTGAGGAAAAACTGAGGTTTCCTCTTTCGTTGGCCTGGCAAGGATTGGCCAGCAGAACGATGGCTCCAGATGGCAGTGTGCTTTCTGAGAAAAATAAAAGCAAAACAAACAGCAGAACCAGCCGTTCCAAGAGGCTGAAGCAGGACTGCACCCAGGCGTGCCTTTGAGATGCTTGTGCTAACCGCTGGGTTGTTTTTTATCACATTTGTATTCGATCCAGAGTATTCTTTTTTAATAACATCTTGAAGGTAGACAAGGCACTGTCTACCTTCAAGATGGGAAGTTTCATTTCCTGGACATTCTCCTGGCTATAACAATTACCCTTGAGTTACCGTTTCACGGGGGCCTCTGGGCATCCGGGTAATATTCTCAGCCTGGGTGGTCAGGTCTACAGTGAGGTACAAGCCTCCATTAATTTACCTGTGTATTGTGTATGTCACTCCCAGAGATGTTTATCTCCTAAACGTGCAGTTCCAATCATAGCACCCAGAGCGAGAAAGAGCACCAGGATCAATGCATTTACTTGCCTTGCACACTCCTGACCCAGACTCAATCATGACACACATTTGGTCCCCTAAGCATCACCAGAGTGAGCCCTAGGCTCCCCGTACCCCTCAGTGATAGGCTCCTAGCATCCACTGTGCCTGGAACCACCTGGCTCACAGCCTGAGACCAATCTCCAGCTGATGCCTAGAAGCTCTTGACCAGGAATGCTCAGGCCCTGAGAGGCAGATGGACAGGAAGGACATGGT